GGCCCAGCAGGCTCCCAGCTCCCAGGGAAAGCCAGCCTACTTCCAAGAGGAAGAAGAAGAGATCAACAACCCTGCCCTGCTTCCAGAGGCCCAAAATTGAGCACAGTGGGTGGGGGAATATATTCTTTGCTATCAGGAAATTTTAAGGAGCAGGCATCAATCGGCAGAGTGGAGAAAGTGGGGATAGGGTGGGTTGGCGTAGTTGACACTGCTATGTATCTCAGGTGGGGGTTCCCAGCATCATCCCATTTTCCCTTAGTGGGGGGAAGGGGTGAGACAAAGGAACTCCAATCATGCTCCTGCCAGGTAAAAGTGAGGGCTCTGGGGGAACCACCCTAGAACCTGCATGCTTTATCTGAGACCTTATCCCAAAAAGAATTAGGGAAGTTGTTTTCCTTTTAAAGAAGGATGCATAATATTTCCCTTGCCAGGGTGAAACAATTAAGCATAAGACCAGATTAATGGACCCCTAATCCACAAGCTACTACATTATGTGGGAGGAAATCTCAGGAGCAATGTGGCAGGTTTTTAAGTATCTTTCCCTCATAACCCAGTCTGGGATATGGTGCTGGGAACTGTTCCAAGCAATGGGTTGTGATGTGACAGGCAAAGAGGGTGGTTGGAACAGCTGCAGACCTGCTGCTCCTAACTCACTCCCACCCCTTTTTGGGCCAATGTGATTTTATTTATTTGCTCCTTTAGATAACTGCACCTTGGTCCCACTTTCTCCAGGATGCCAATTGCACTGTGTGCGAATGACGTATCTTGTGCATTTTAACTTTTTTTTTTCGTAATATAAATATTCTGGCTTTGTATTTTTGTATATTTTAATCTAAGGCCCTCATTCCTGCACTGTGTTCTCAGGTACATGAGCAATCTCAGGGATAAGTCGGCAGCAGCTCCAGGTCTGCACAGCAGGAATACTTTTTGTTTTTATCACTATTATATCACATTTGGAGTGCACAGCCTATCAAAGTGAACTACCTCATTTCTGCCAATTAGAGTTGAGTCTTCTGCCATAGTACCCTCTTGAAACCCCCTCCACCTTAAAAATGTTTCACAGGAGACTAGGTTTTAAAGCCCCATGACTTGATCTTCTACTGGAAGTCTGGAAATTAGTCTACATAGGAAAAGGTGGTACAGAGAAGTTAGCAGAGGCTGGACCAAGTAAAAGGCCCAGAGAGGAAGCAAAGGTTATGTGATGTGATGGTTGTCTAATTCTAGGGGCATGGGACTTGCTTTACATTCTTCTCTAGATAATCCTAGCTTGACAATGCACAACAGGGTGTATGTGTGTGTGTTTGTATAAGGAAAAAAAAAAGTGAGTTGGTAAGGCTGAGTTTTCAGACCTATACCCTTGTGTCCATTTGTGCTGTGCAGGAATGGTTGTATGAAACAAGGACTAAAATTCGGAACCATTCAACATTCTTGGCTTCCAGGAAAACCCATAAGAGAGGGCCTCTTAGTGGTGCCAGGAGCCAATGTCCTGCCCTGCTGCAGTCGTGATAAATAGTATCTTGATAGCTAAAAAAGAAAAGGGGAGTTTCGTTTACATGCTGTGAGATCACTGCAAACCTACCTCACTGTGTTGAGACGGGACAAATGCAATAGAACGCATTGGGTAGTGTGTGTCTGATCCTGATTTCTTCGTCTCCCCCAAATGCTGCCCCCCTCCTAATTATTATATTTGTCTGGGCTTTGTAGGACTTGCTGAGTCTCTGAGTTGGTGATTGCTAGGTGGCCTAGTTTGTGTAAATATAATGTGTTGGTCTTTTCTCCATGTTCTTTTGGGGTTTTATTGTTTACAAAATTCTTTTTGTATTGAGAGAAAAATAGCCAAAGCATCTTTGACAGAAGGTTCTGCACCAGGCAAAGGGATCTCAAAAATAAGTTGGGGGAGGCTCTTTTTGAAGTGGGGATCTTGAACTATCTTTTCTTTTGCAGTCCGCTTTCCCTTGTTTCCTATTTGGGACCAAATTTGTCCTAAAAACTTGACTCCTGCCTTCTCCTCCCCCTAAAGAAAACCTACACACCCACACACATACCTATTTAATTCTTGAAGTATCTCTGCAACTCCTAACTGACTTAATGCAGAAAACCTAAGGAGCAGGGATCCCCAACTCCTTGTTCCACCTCCTGGGTCAAGACAGTTATTGATGCAATTCATGCCAAACACCTGCAGTTTGGGTGGATCAAACCTACTCAATCTGTAATCCTAGAGAAAAGCAAGTGGGGTCAGGAGACCAGGAAAGGGAGTATGAATGTATATTCAAGTCACTCAGGAACTTTTATGCAGGTGTAAGAAACTTATGTCAAAGTGGCCTGAAGATTGTTTAATAGGAGACAGACGAATGTAACTCCATGTTTACTGCTAGAAACCAAAGCTTTGTGTGAAATCTTGAATTTATGGAAAGGGATGGAGGGGGGAGGGTGGGAAAGTATATACCTGTCTATTCTTTCCCTGAACCCTTCACATCATTCCTGAACTGCCCAGGACCAAGCCCCCTTGGGCTTTGGTGACCACATCACTGGGCTGTCTTATTGGATGGTTGATTTTGCTGTACCCCTGTACACTTCCTTTCCTATTTTCTAATCATTTTTTAACACGTGTGCTGACTTTTCCTTCCCTTCTCCTTTCCCTGGGAAAATACAATGAATAAAAAAGTCTTATTGGTACTCAAATGGTTCTCATTGTCAAATTATTTCGGGTGTTTTTTCCTCCCGTAACTCCCGCCTTTTCAGACTGGGACTTAGAAGTCACAGAAGAACCATTAAGTTTTTCCCCTTCACCACTTTGTTAGGAGTGAATCTTTTAAAAAGTTCAGTCCTCATGGCACCTCATTACAGTGGATTTTTGTTTCTAGTTAAGGCCTCTTGTCCTTTCCTTGGAAGCTGCCACATTCAAGAGGGGATTAGAGTCTTGGCATGCATAAGAATGGGGTTGCCTATACCACTGGCTGGGATGAAAGGACGGGGCCATGGCTTGGGGCATGAGACCCTAATAATACTTTGTTCCCTACTCCTCAAAGCCCTTTACAAATCTTAATTAATTAACCCCTTGCAGCACCTAAGAAGGAAAGTATGATTCGGAAATAAGAGAAGTTGAGGCCAAAAGTGATTCACTAACTATAAACCAACATTTTCTTTGGGCTAAAGTTTGCTAGCATTCTAACAAATATTGAATTCTTAAACATCTGTCTCAAGGGAAAATCATTCACTTGAGGCAAAAGAAAGTGTAAGGAAACAAATAGGATTAAATCTTCAAACTCTGGAAACCCCACTGGAGAAAGGGTTAGAAGTTGCATGGAGCCTGTCCAGGTTTTTGTGGCCCCTTAACTATGTACTAAAAGTCAAAGCTGACAATGGAAGCTCACAATTCAGCAAGGTACTACTGGGTTTATGTTAAAGGATTTCATGCAAAACTGAAATAATTGCGAGGCTGAAAGTGAATCCCTGCTTCACAAGGCAGAGGATGGGTGAGTTGCTCATCTCCAGGGCTCTCTTTAACCATACTGCCTCAGGCATGTAATCCCTTTTCCCATGGGGCAGATGAAACACAGGCGTCCCACACTAGGCAAAGAGTCCACTGCTGAGCTACGCAACCTTAAAAATAACCTTTCTGTCAGAAAGAGGAAAACATCATTGTGCAGTACCATTGCAGCATCTGGTCCTTATCCTGTTTGAGACTGCAAGGCAAAGTGAGGTAAAACATGGTTTGTTGAAACTGTTCAGATGCAAGTTTTATCCTTTGGAAGGAGTACTGGTTGCATCACATACTATAAATGTTTCTTCAATTTTGAGAGAATGAACTACCGATCTGCCTAAAAGTCCAGCAAGGTTTAGTACAAAACAATACCCTTGATTTTTCTATCTTGGTCTATTACGGCTGTTTTCCTTTTCTGGTTATTTCCTCCAGTCTTTATTATTTTGAGAGAAGGTTTCGCTAAATTACTCAGACTGGTCTGGAACTCAAATTCTGCTTCAGCTTCCCAAATAGCTGGGATTACAGACTTGCTCCACCGCGCCCTGCTGGTTTTAACATTAATTTAGGAACCTTTATTCAGTGATACTGAGATTGAACCTAGAAGTAATTCTTAGAGCACAGCTGGTTTTGGCCTCCGTCTCGTTTGAATTGCTTTAGGTGGGCCCTAGGAATCCTGCAACTATAAAATCTGGGTTGATACTCAAGAACACAAGATTGACCAGAGCTAGGAACTTCTTCCCAAGCAATTAAATCCATCAGAGAAAACACAATACTGTAAAAATATAAATTTTAAGGCTAAATCGTAGCACTCAGGAGGCCAAGGCAGGAGAATTGCCCTGAGTTCGGGGCCAGCCTGGGCTACACAAGGCGTTCAAGGTCAGCCTGCATTACATGGCAAGACCCTATGTCAAAATAAAACAAAAGAAAGGCTAAATCCTAAAAGGATACCTAACGAAACCTAGCTCTACGGCGCCTTCCAGCGTAAAACCTGACTGGTTAACACCTTACCCCATTTCTCTAAGTAATGTCAGCGGCCGAGAAACCACTCAACTTCTAACCGTACTTCGAGAAGGCTTCCTCCTCTCCCTACTGCGCTCCAACTGGCCCTCCTTTCCCAGTAGCCCGCACAAAGTCCGGAACGCGCACATCCGCTCCCACTAGGTCACATGATCTGGGCTTTCCCGGAGCCACGCCCACACCTTGCGGGAGCGCGCGCCAAGAGGCCGGGAACGCTCCAGTCGCTTCCCCAACCTCACCCGCAGGCGCAGGGTGGGGCTCCGCCCACTGGGTGACGGAAGGGGCGAGGTCCAGCCCCCAGAGATGACGTATTTTCCCAGCGCCACGTCGTACGGAAGTGTAGAGGCTCAGCAGCAGTTGAAATACGCCGGGCAGATCCTCCCAGGTGCTAGATCCCAGCAGATGAGAGAGGTGACAGAGAGAGGAAGAAACTGTGGGAGAGATAAAAGTAAAACTAACAATAATTAGGAGACCAATAAGGTATGAGGACACGGTTGCAACAGCTGAAGGGGTTAGTGACTGGGAATGCAGAATGTGAAGTGGCTGGTGGGGGGAAAGATTGAGAGGGAAGGTGCGGGAAATGCTCAAGAAGTAGGCACTGTGATGTGGCAGGAAGCAGACTTAGATGTTAAGTTAGTTCAGATCAGGAAAGAAAAAAGTGAAATCAAATTCCACTAAGAACGAAACAAAGACTTTTTGTCCCAAAGGTACGTTTGGCTTGTACATCTCTGGGTGGTAAAAGATTAGCGGTTTCGACCAGTATCTTTGGATTCTATTCTATTTTCCACAGTCCACGCGAATCTCTAGGAGTCAGGTGTAGTCTAGGATCTTTTTGGAAACACTGGTGATTTGTTATTTTCTGCTTTCTTTTCCAAAGTTATATCTGGCTGGTAGCTTGTTCTGCGGTGATTTTCTGACGGGATAAGAATTATGTCATGGATCAAGGAAGGAGAGCTATCACTTTGGGAGCGGTTCTGTGCCAACATCCTAAAGGTGAGTACCAGTTGTCCTTTTGATCAGCTGGGTAATTTTTATCAAAACCTGTTATTAAAGTTGAGCAATTAGTGATTTTAAGTGGAATTTAGCAAGGGAGCTAACCCTTAGAATTGTAAGGTAACTTTCATGTCTACATTTCTGGTAATTGTTCCATCTGACATTTTCAAGCAGCTCAGGGTCTCCTGATGAGCGAAATTGGGCAATATAGACTGTTAAGGCTTCCTTTTAGAGTACTGAAGTTTGTTTCCTTGGAACTTTGACCCACTGTTTCTAGTACTGTCCTCTGGGTGGTTTTGTTTGTTTGTTTGTTTAGACAGGGTCTCTGTAGTTCAGGCTGACCTTTAACTCCCTTTTACCCCAGGCTGGCCTCAAACTCCCAGCCATCCTCCTGTGTCTGCCTCCCGAGTGCTGGGCTTATTGGTAGGTGCTGCCAGTTGCCCTTCTGGGCAACTGGGTTTAAATAAAATAATCTTTATTTCAGGTGGTAGTACAACATACTGGTTAGCAGTTTGGGCCTTGGAGGCAGCCAAGCATGAGTGAAGCTCTATTATTTACTATCTGTCTGACTAAAATGTAGAGTTAGCAGGAAGATGAATTTAAACATACATGTAAACTATGAATGGAGAACAGAGTTTAAAACAGCATTTTTGGAAGAAAGATTGTACCTAGGGCCTCATGATGCTAGGCAAGTGCTCTACCTCTGCTTTGCTTTTGCAAAGGCTATCTGTGGGAGACAAAAATAAAAAATGTTAAAGAAGCATTGGGGAAACACTCAATGATTAACCCCTCCAAGTGAGGCAGGATATACTAAAGACTCAAGTTTTGCAGTGGTAGGCAACACAGAACTGCTCTGTGCCAAATAAGGAATTTTGTCTGTCTCAGAAAATACCTTCTTTTTTATTTTGAAATGGCTTCTGACATTGAATTTTTGTTTGTTTATTTTTTAAAGTTTCCCAAGATAGCTTTCAACTCTGGGGTTTGAATGATCTTCCTATTTCAGCATCCCAAGTAGCTGATACTACAGATGTGTGCCACTGTGCCTCTCAATTTTTATAAAAATCCTGATATTTGGTTTCTTGGACCATTAGAAAATTAGAATAGTATTGTGTCCCAGCTCCTGTGTGGCAGTGGTTGGCTAGAGTTAGGGAGTGAATGCCTTTTTTTTGGAGGGGGTGCCATCTGTCTAACTCTTGGCTCAAACAATCCTGCTCAGATGCCTACGCAGCTGGGACTACAGGCATATGCCACTTTTCTGGCTTGGTGCCTCTTTCATGTGGAAGATGCCCTCCTCATTTGATTCCTCTGCCAATCAATGTTCTTCCTTTTTTATCTTTCTGAGAATCTCAGGAAACCAAGATGGTAGCAAAGAGCATACTGGTGCTGGGTGTGTTGGTGTGTGTGTCATCCCAGCACTCTGAAGATTTGAGGCCAGCTTGTACTACACAGTACAGTTCAAGGCCAGCCTGAACTTCATAGTGAGATCCTTCGCAAAAAACCAAGAAGAAAAAGAGCATATTGTTGAAAGATGAGCTCAGGCTGGGGATGGTGGAGCATGCCTGTATTACCAGCATTTAGGAGGATGAGGCAGAGAGATCACAAGTTCAGGGCCAAATAGAGCTACATAGTGAGTTCAAGGCCAGTTTGTATTACATAGTGAGACCCTGTCTCAAAAGAGAAAAAGAAAGAGAGATGAACTCAGGACAGACAGACCTCAGTTTGAATCCCTGTTCTTTTCTTACAGTGCTGTGTGTAACAGTAAGTCACTTGAGCTCTCTAAGGCATAATTTTTTTTAACATATAAATGAAGATAATACTATTTACATTATAGAGTTGTATGATAAGGTGAAATATAAAAAGCCCACCATAGTATTTGGCATGTAGTAGGGCTCAGTGAACATAAATAATAAAATTCTTGCTGGGTGTTGGTGGCATACACCTGTAATCACAGCACCGAGAGGCTGAAGCAGGAGGATCCCTTTGAGTTTGAGACTAGCCTAGGTACATAGAGAGTACAAAACTAGCCTGAACTACATAGTGATACCCTGTCTCAAAGTAAATAATAAATAAATAAATAAATAAAGTCTTTAATGCTGTTGTATGGAGCCAAAAGTATAAAATATCTAATTCCTTTCCTCAGGGTTTTTATCCTATAACTGAAATCCATCAGTTTGGTTTGTAGCACCTGCTGTCTCTCATCCCTGAAGAGTATGAATTGGCTGATTATTTATCTTTTTATTTCACAGGCAGGCCCAATGCCCAAACACATTGCGTTCATAATGGATGGGAACCGACGCTATGCCAAAAAGTGCCAGGTGGAGCGGCAGGAGGGCCACTCGCAGGGCTTCAACAAGCTGGCTGAGGTGGGTTTGAGGTGGCTCAGGAGGTGGCAGAATCTGTGAAGAATTGAATTACGGCTAGAAAATGAAGCTCTGAATTTGCTGTGGTTTAAATTATTTGTTTGGTACTGGGAAACAAACTCAGGACCTTGTGCTTGCCAGGCACTATGCTGCTAAACTATATCCCTGACCTGAAAAAGTTTCTCAATTTTTTTTTTTTTTTTTTTGGTACCAGGGATTGAACTCATGACCTTGCACTTGCCAGGCAGGCTCTTATGCCACTGAGCTAAATCCCCAGCCCAAGTTTCTCAGTTTTATTACTTGTTTGCTCAGTATTGATCTCATATTGATGTTAATAAAAATAAAATTGTCCAGTGAATTGTCACAAAATACTAAAATAACAAAATTGCTGCCTCTTGCCAGCACTCGGGAGACTGAGGCAGGAAGATCATTGCAAGTTTGAGACCAACCTGGTCTATAAAATGAACTCAAGCCTGACCTAGCCTGACCTGCATAGTGAGACCCTGTCTCAAAAAGACAAAAAAAACAACCAAACAAATCAAACAACCAACCAAACAACCAAAAAATCAAAACCAAAATTGCTACCTCCTATTACCATAATAAATTATTAGTTTTTATTGTTCTATACCTCCTTCATTGCATATAGTATGTCCTATATGACAGTATTTATAGAATTGTCTCTATAGTTCAAATAATTTTATTTGACATTTTGGCAGCTATTTTTCTAAGTTGATCTATATCCTTTTTAACTATAAATTTTATCATGGTATCTGATATGATGTTCAGTAGCTCAACTGTTACGGGACATTATCAATAGATGTTGTAAATAGTGCTGATTTAAAAAAATTTGTGCTAGCTGGGTGTGGTGGTATAGGCCTCTAATCCCAGGACTCAAGAGGCTGAGGCAGGAGGATTGTTGCAAGTTTGAGACTAGCCTGGGCTACAAAGTGAGCTCAAGACCAACCTGAAACTGTAGTGAGACCCTGTCTCAAAAAGACAAAAACAAAAACCACATAGTGCAGATTTAAGATAATTTTTTTTTAGTAGTATATGTTTTTAGTAGAATAAATTTTTAGAAGTGCCATTTCTGGAGCACAGGTTGGGTGTTTACTCTTCCTACTTTGCCAGGGCTGAGGAGTTTCTCAGGATGCCATCTAGTGCTAAACTAGGGAAAGTCCCAGGCCAGCTGGGACATTAGTCTTCATAAAGGTCATGAACATTTGTTGATTTCAGTGCATATTGCATATTAGAAAATACTACATTTAACAATGAGAATGGAATATGACTGTCTTGGTGACACTTTTATTTTTCTGGTACTGGGATTGAACCCAGAGCATTGAACTATATCCCAGGTATTTGTTTGTTTGTTTGTTTGTTTATGGACAAGGTCTTGCTAAATCACTTAAACTGCCCAGGGTGGGTTTGAGTTTGTGATCTTCCCCGAATGCTGAGATTATAGGCTTGCAGCATGACATTAGTTTAAACTAACTTTTCTTTTGGTGCTGGAGATTGAGTCCAGGTCTTCATATGTGCTAAGTGCTCATTGTACTAAGAGCTATACCCCTAGCCCTTTATGAGAATAATTTTTAAGAAGAATGGAAATAGGGGCTGGAGATTTAGCTCAGTGGCATAAGCACCTGCCTTGCAAGCAGACAGTCGTGAGTTCGATCCCTGGTACCGATTAAAAAAAAAAGACCTGAGAAGAATGGAAATAAAGTCCTTAAGCACAAGAACATGCCATGATTACATGGCAGTAATATTTTTTTGCCGTAAGCAATTGGCAGACCACTTCTCTCTCGCACACTGTAGAAATCTTTAGGTTTATTAACCTCTGATTCTCTTTTGTAATTAAGAGGCAGTTTTGCCTAGAGTTTGGAAGCTTAACCTCAGAATTCATTAGTATAGACAAAGTGCTTTTTGGTGTGGTTTTTTTTTTGTTTTTTTTGTCTTTTTCATTTTTATCGGTACTGGGGATTGAACTCACGACCGCCTGCTTGCAAGGCAGGTACTTATGCCGCTGAGCTAAATCCCCAGCCCTTTTGGTGTGTTTTTGAGACAAGATTTTACTATGCAGTTTAGGCTGGCCTTGAACTCACTAAGCTGACTCCAATTTGCATTGATCCTCCTGCTTCAGCCTTCTGAGTGCTGGCATTAACAAGCATGTGCCACCATGCCTGGCTTGGACATAGTTATTAACCTCCTGTAAAGAAAAATAAAAAATGGACTCCTTACCACTTTTGCCCTGCCACTTCCTGGCTTTGTGCCTGTAGTAATATATGCCAATTCCTTTTGCCTCAGTTTCTTCATCTAATACAGTGTTGGCAACCTGTATTTTAAGAGATTAATGTAAAGATTAAGCAAGATGGCAGGATGAAAAGCATTTGGTATAGAGCTTGACATAAACAAAGTGCTCAAAAAAATTAAACTTTTGTTAGTAGCAGCGGGTTCTGACCCAGATGTGCTATTCAGAGAAGCTGCCTTACAAGGGCTGTAGAATGTGAGCTTACGCCAAGCATGGTGACACATACCTGTAATTACAGTACTCTGAGAGGTTGGGGCAGGAGAATCACAAGTTTGAGGCCAGGCTACACTGCAAGGGGAATTTAGGGCAAGCCTGGACTATATAGTGAGATGGTGTCTCAAATAGCCACACTCCCCTCCGAAAAAGCCAGTCTGTTCTATGTGTCAAGTTCTTACTGGTATTTTCCTAAGATATTAGTGGATTTGTTTCCATGCATATCTGTCTATTAAGGAATTAGAGCAGTAGCTATGAAGTTTCAGGATTTTTGTTCCACTCAAATGTCTTTTGGCCTCTGCCTTTAATCTTCAGCTCCTTAATATTGTTATTCTAGCTGGGCATGGTGGCTCATTCCTGTAATCCCAGCACTCGGGAGGCAGAGGCAGGAGGATCATTGCAAGTTCGAGACCAGCCTGGGCTACAAAGTGAGCTCAAGGCCTGCCAGAACTGCATAGAGACCCTGTCTCGAAGACAAAAAAAAAAAAAAAAATTGTTATTCTAAGATGAAGCTTCTTTGCCTAATGTTAGTGGTACTGGATTAGAACAACCCCCAAAGAACTGAGTATGAATTTCTTTTTTTTTTTTTTCCTCAGACGGAGTTAGGGATCAAACCCAAGGCCTTGCACATGATAGATAAGCCCTTTATCACTGAACAACATGCCCAGCCCAATTTTAAGTTGAAGTGTGACCTATTTCATACAGTGAAACGTAGATTTGGGGTTTGGACAGTTGCATTCGTGTGTCTAACCTATACCCATGTCGAGATACTGAACCGTTCTCCAGCAGGTTCCTTTGTGCCCCTTCACATGCAATCCCTGTTCTGCCTCCTCCCCTCACCATGTAACCATTGTCCTGATTCCTGTAACTGTAGATTTGTTTTTCCTGTTCTAGAACTTCATATAGTGAAATCATATAGTAGAGTTACAGACTTTTGGCATGATTCTTCAACTCTCAGAGCCAGTTTTATTGTCTGTAAAGTAGACATGGAACTATAATGCTACTTTTAAGTGGCTGAAAAAATCAAGTGAAGTAATGTATTTGAAAAAGCTTTACTGATTATAAATGCTACATGGCCATCCAGTTGTTGCTTATTTTTGTCACCCTTGAAGCTGGGTGTAGTGGCACATACTTCTAATCCCAGCAGACAGGACACTTGAAGCAGGAAGATCAGGAGTTGGAGGCCAGCCTGGGTTACATAGTGAGTTTATGGCTTGCCTGAACTACCCAGTGAGACCCTGTCTCAAAAACCAAACAAAAATTTGGCTACCAGACTAATGCAGTTATGCTTTAGTAATATCTTATATTTTTATATTGTTTATTAGCCACTTGGTGAGAGATGGATTGCAATAAGGAGACTTAAGCCCTAGGAGGTTAAATGATTTACCTACTGTTCCATAGCAAGTCCATGATGGGATAAGGTACTGGAACCTGTGTTTACATTCTTAGTGAAGAGTTGTTTCCCGTGAGCCACAATGTAATCGGTATAGTGGCATTCACTAAAATCACAGTTTTTAGTTTCTGCCTATTTAATTATTCTGATATAAGCACTGATGTGATCCTTGCTTCTCCCAAGTTTGGGTAGGAGAAAAGTCAGTCTTCCACCTCCAACTCTGAATAGGGTAAAAGAATCTTATTTCCTTCCCACTGTCCTTGTACCCAGCTATTCGCCTTCTCCCCTCTCAGACTCTGCGCTGGTGTTTGAACCTGGGCATCCTCGAGGTGACAGTCTACGCATTCAGCATTGAGAACTTCAAACGTTCCAAGAACGAGGTTGACGGGATACTGGATCTGGCTCGAGAGAAATTTAGCTACTTGATGAAGGAACAGTAAGATGCTGTCCCAGGAGAAAATGTTCTTCCACCACCTCCAGCAATTCTCTGGCCCTCACAGCTCTGTTATCTGGGGCTTATTTGAAACATTCTAAATCCTTTTATGTTAGAACTCTTTGGCAAGTATAAGAAATGCAAATCATTCATTCTTTGTTTTCTTTATCCCTTTCCTTTTCCTCTCTCCCTGTCTCCTCTTCTTTTCCTCTCCTTTCCCATTCCCCTACCTCCCATGCAGGGATTGAGTCCTAGGTCTCATGCTAGACAAGCTGTATACCACTGTGCTACGTCAACAGCCCTTTGTTTCCCTTTTTTTTTTTCTTTTTTTTTTTGTACGGGGGATTGAACTCACCACCTTGCACTTGCCAGGCAGGTACTGACACCGCTGAGCTAAATCCCTGGTGCTCCTTTAATTTTGAAAGAGGTTCTTGCTGACTTGCACAGGCTGGCCTCAGACTGAGTCCTCCTGCCTCGACCTGAGTAGTTGGGATTGCAGTTCTGTGCCACCACACCTGACTGACTTCTGTTTTTGTTTTGTGGTTTTTGTGTGTGTGTGTTTGTGGGAGGTACACATATTTGAGAATAGTGAGGTATTTCACAGAATTTAAGTATAGCTATCCTCAAACAAAAATAAAGTCAGGTATTAATCTGAGTCTCTTTATACATTTATTTCCTTCTATGTCTGCAGAGCAACTTTCAGAGAGACAATCCAGAGCAAACTAAATCTCTTAATTGGCCCACCTCTGTTCAGATTTCTACCCCAGAACCAATAAACTGTGGCCAGAGAAGTAGAAGCAAAGAGGGAGAAGTCATTTTCTGTTGTACAGAGATTTACTGTGCAATTACTATGCTCCTTCTGCAGTCTTGGGTAGGATGGAATGATACGTAAGAGACTCTGGGGAGGTATCAGTATCTTCCTTAGCTATAGTGTCAGCTATTGCTGTTGTTGAATATAGGCTTAACAAGCTGGGCGTGGTGGCTCATGCCTGTAATCCCAGCACTCGGGAGACTGAGGTAGGAGGATTGTTGCAAGTTTGAGACCAGCCTGGGCTATAAAGTGAGCTCAAGGCCAGCCTGCACTCTACATAGAGTGACGCTGTCTCAAAAAGACAAAAAAAAAAAAAAAAAAAAGGCTTAACGTAGGGAGCAAAGCCAGAAATGGGCAAAAGGGAATACTGATATCATTTGCCTCAAATTGTGGAGCCTTCTGTCAGAGTTACAAGTGTTAACTACCCAGCTCTTACTACAGCAGGACTAGCAAGATGACAGAACAGAGCCTAGAGTTCCACCAGAGAATGGTCTAAAAGGATACTCTGGGAAGCTGGTTCTGTCATTGCTGACCTTTTATGGGTCAGGACAGTAGGGAGGGTGGCAAGACTCCTCTATTCATAAGAGGCTAAGATTCTGAGCCACATATATTGCTCTCTGGTTCCTAGCAAAGCCCTGTGAGGCAGAGTTCATCCCAGGCAATGCACTAGAGATGTGAGGAATACTTTCAAGTGTTCAGATTCTTACCTTTTTATTTTATTTTTTGTCCTTTTGAGATAAGGGGTTCAGGCTAATCTTGGGCTCACTTTGTAGCTCAGGCTGGTCTCGACCTTGCAGTGATCCTCCTGCCTCAGCCTCCCAAGTGATGGGATTACAGGAATACAACAACACACCCAGCTTGAAAATTCTTACCTTCTTAAAGTGCACATTAATAAAAAAAAAATTTGTCATTATAGGTAATCTAAGAAAAATAGGGCCAGGGATTTAGCTCCGCAGCATAAGCACTTGCCTGGCAAGCACGAGGTCACGAGTTCAATCTCTGATACCAAAAAATAAAAGTGTACATTAGTCTTTTTGCCAGGCCTTTAGCTAAAGATATATTCTCATTTAGTAGTCATGTTATCTCATGAGAAACAGATATTAGCCCAAAATTAGGGAAGAAGAAAGTAAAAGCCAGAGAAGTTAAGGCATATTTTTTAGCTCACACAGTAATCAAAAGGGCAGAGCCACAGTGTCCACTGGGTCTTTCTGGCTCCAGAGCTGACGGCTTGTCTGCTACACTATGCACCTGGAGACAGGAAGCAAAAATTCCTCTAGGATCAAGATGTTTGGCAATAGAGATGCTACTGAGATTAGTTAGCAGTAGAGAAAATGATCTTGTCATGAAGTCCTGGCCAGAGCAAGAAGAAACCTCAGAGGTGCTTTTCTGACAGTATACCACAGAACTTCAGAGTTCTAGAGTGGACCACCCCAAACCTCACCAGCACTGGATATAAGATGCTTATTTGTTTTTACCTATTTTATGTATTAAGTTCGTGTATAGAACTGATTTAAAGAAAGAGTTTGTTAGTAAGAAGCTTGAAAATTCACTGGCCTACTTCAGTTCTTCTGCTGGGAAATTAAACACTAATGAAGAGAAGCAAAGGGCCTGCCTGAGGTCACAGCAAGCTTTGCTAGAGCCAGTTTGGGAACCCAGGTCCCCTGATCTTCCAGGCTTTAGCACCTCCCTGTCTACAGACCTCACTTAAGTACTCATCTGCATGCTCACATATTCTCACCTGACAGATGCCCATGAGGATAGTATGGCAGGGCTCATTGTCACCCTTTATTTACAGATTTGGAGGGTGGAATGGGCAGGTAGAGACTGACCTCAGGTCAAGCGTTTATGCAATGTCCACAAGTGAGGTACTAAGTCTTGAATCTAGAGTCCATTGCCTCCATTTCCCATGGAAATTGAACCCATGGCTTACATCACCTTTTTAATTTTTATTTTGTGAAGGGGTTCATGTTGCCAGGTAGTACTCAAACTTGTGATCTTCCTGCCTCAGCTTTCTGGAGTGCTGAGATTACAGGTGTGCCCTTCTTACTCAGATTTTTCCTTGGTTTAACTGTGTTTGTACACTACAGCTCCAGTGGGTTCTCAAACCTTAAATCTTCCTTCACAGCCTCTGAGCAAATGGGGTTAAGGTTATATAAAATAAAAAGATTGTGCATGTGACCTTCAGTTCTGGATGAGAGTCTTTTGGAACATACCAGAGACTATCCCATACCACATTAAATTACCACTTCCCAAACATGAAGCCTTCAGTTTCTACATAGTACTACGCACCATCCTCAGGTGAGAGAAGCTGAGTAGCAATACAGTGAATTATTCTCACTGTGTGAAGATTAGAAGTTAATTGTATGGAAGTGCTATAATGTTGTGGTTAAGAAGGCAGGTTATGTGGCCAGATTCCCCAGTTATCCATTTACCAGCGCCTCAACAGATCACCTGATTTCTCTGTGCTTTGGTGTCCTTACGTGTTAAAATAATTACAGAATGTACCTCCAGAGATTTGCCTAAGGATGGAATGTGTTAGTACATGTAAAGCACTTAGACTACTGTTTGGCACCTAGCAACAATGTTAGCTGTTACTATTTTTGCTATTTTTTGAGACAGGGTCTTAGGTTGGCCTTTGCCTTGAATTTACTATGTAACTCAAGTTGACCTCAAGCTCTTGGTGATCATCTTGGCTCAACCTCCCAAGTGCTGGATTACAATTGTGTACCACCATGAGTGGCTGTCAGCTGTTATGGAGCATAACAAAAATAATCAATAATGTAACTTCTGCCTTTGAGCAGTCTATTTTCTTGTCAAAAAGGCATAGACATACCAAAGAATTTGTACAGTGCAACCCAGCAGCAAGAATACCTGTGGTGGTATAATACGTACTTAAGGGCTTAGGTTTTCTGTTTTCTTTTTGTTGTTTGTTTGTTTGTTTTGATTTTTGAGATGGGGTCTCCCCAGGCTAGCTTCAAACTCATGGAAATCCTGCTGCCTCAGCCTCTCAAGTGCTGGGATTATGTGCACCATCACAGCCTGCAAGAGTTTACATTTTTCAAGGCAGACAGAAGTGAGGTTCAATCCAGCATAAGATGACAGTGTGATCTTAGACTGTTCCTATCTGACTGTCCTGTCTTGTCCTGTCTGAGCTCAATGTTATAGTAAAGTCCTTTTAGAGCTGTGAAGGGGAACAGAGAAATAACATGCATAATACAGCGCCAGACACAGGGATGCACTCGGAAACAGGTGATAGTTTTTTTTTTTTTGTCTTTTTGTCTTTTTCATTTTTATCGGTACCGGGGATTGTTGATTGATTTTTTTTTTTTTTTTTTTTTGGTCTTTTTCGTTTTTGTCGGTACCAGGGATCGAACTCACAACTGCCTGCTTGCAAGGCAGGCGCTTATGCCGCTGAACTAAATCCCCAGCCCCGGTGATTGGTTATTATAGGGACACCTTTCTCCAGCTGTGTCCCAATACTACCTTCATTTTCCTTACCAGGGAGAAGCTGCAGAAGTATGGAGTGTGCATCCGGGTCCTGGGAGATCTACATTTATTGCCCTTGGACCTGCAGGAATTAATTGCACAAGCTGTACGGGCCACCAAGAACTACAACAAGTAAGTTCCCAGATTCCCCTCTATCAATCTTTGACTCCTTAATAGTTTTAGCGAGCCATTCTGAACTTCCCTTGGTCTGCATTTTGTGTAATGGGCAATAAAGGAGTTGTTTGGGATGCTTGCAGAATTCCTTTTTTGCAGGGCAGACTGGAGCTCTTACTGCAGTACCATGTTATATCAAATAATAGACACAATTTCTTGTCAAACATGGTGGTACACACCTGTAATCTCCACACTAGGCAGAGGCTGGAAGATCACCATAAATTGGAGGCTAGCCCGGAATATATAGTGAGTTCAAGGCAGCCTGAACTATATAGTGAGACCCTGTCTCACAAAACCAAACCAAACAGAAATATAGCACACTTTCTCATCCTTTACCCACCCCATCCCAAAGTTGTATACACATACACACACACTGTTTTTTAACTTGACAAGGATTTAGGTGAAAATGCCATAGCCATCTTGTTTTGAAAATGGATCTCCTGAGAAATTATTTTTCTATACCACTCCTTTAACCCATGGACAGGATGACCTTTGAAGATGACACACATACAGAAAGGAATGGAATTCAGTAATCCAAGTGTGTGGTGTTAAAACATAATATGTACTCGACATTGCATTTGTTCTGTGTCAGGTCTCCTTTGTGTGTGCTGGCTTCACGGTGGACTCACACCCTCTGTGAGCTAGCTGGTTGACAGTAGAAGGAGGACAATAAAGACTGCTTGGTACAGTATTTATCTTATTAATGGCATATTTCTTCCCAAAAGTCTTAGAAATAACCAAAAATTTATAATCTCATCTTCTGGAAGTATAAAAAGTTAACATTTGGTGTGTGTGTCCTTCCAGGAAGAGGCTTCTGTGTTATCAGGGACTCCAGTGCTCAGTCCCTATGCCTGTTTGATAAACTATTCTGTTCTCCTCTCTGCAGGTGTTTCCTGAATGTTTGCTTTGCATACACGTCCCGCCATGAGATCACGAATGCTGTGAGAGAAATGGCCTGGGGAGTGGAGCAAGGCTTGCTGGAGCCCAGGTATCCTGGGTTGTTTCTTGTGGCGATTGATAGGGAGAAGAGGAATACAACAAACCGTAACACTTCCACCTTGTGCCAAATTCAAAGATGATTTTTTTCAGGAGTGCATGGACAGGATGTTGTTGCGGAGATACTTTTAGATATATCATGTTACATTTCATAAAAGATTAAGGTATTTTTCAAAAAAAAATACATATATATATAAAAAGGGGCTGGGGATTTAGCTCAGCCGCATAAGCGCCTGAGCAAGCAGGCGCTTGCTTGCAAGCAGGCAGTCGTGAGTTCGATCCCTGGTACCGATAAAAAGGAAAAAGACCCCCAAAAAATTAATAATAATAATAAGATTAAGGTATTTTTCAAAAAAGAAAAATTTTAATCATTACCAACAAAGTGGAATCCTAATAATTAGAGCTAGGAGGTAATTTATAAGTCATCTATCCATTTGTCCTTTTTATTATTACTAGTAAATCTTTAATCTTTAGTAATAATATTAGTAAACTAATAATAGCAATAGTAAAATAATACTAGCAGAAAATAACCTAGGTGATGTGTTACATTCTGGATTTTTTTTGTTGGTTTTTTTTTTTTTTTTTTTTTTTTTTTTTTTTGGTATCAGGGATCGAACTCATGATCTCACGCTTACCAAGCAGGCACTTATGCCACTGAGCTAAATCCCCAGCCCTACATTCTGTATTTTATTAATTCATTATTGTCACATGTGAGAGACTGAAGTCCTGAAATCTTGTGACCCAGGGACAGAAGGACAGACGGATGGACTGACTTTCTTTCTTTTTTGTGGTGCTGGTAATCAAACCTAGGGCCTCATGCATATAAGGCAAGAGCTCTACTACAGAGCCGCATCCCCACTTCTCTGATTCACTCTTGAATTTAATTCATTTGCCTGAAAACTAGGTTAAAGAAAACCAAGAAATTAGGGCTGAGAACACAGCACTGCAGAAAAAAGCAAGAAATTGTTAGGTGAAAATGGAAAAGTAAGAAGATAATTTTAAAGACTGTTTTATGAATGTCCCCAACAGCTGAGTGATATTTCTGTGCCATTTGGTTCATCCAGTCAATCATACTTTTCCACAATTTTTTTTTTTTTTTTTTTTGGTACTGAGGATCGAACTCATGACCTTGCACTTGCCAGGCAGGCGTTTATGCCACTGAGCTAAATCCCTGGCCTCAACAAATAATTTTAAGTACCATCTATTGGTAGGCACATTCTTGTCCATGGGACATACAGTGGTGAAAATAAGAGTGTATATTTTCTACCTCATGAAGTTCTGGTAGAAGAAACATGCTGAAATTATACAAATAGCATAAACCATGCATGTAATTCCAGCACTTGGAAAGCTTAGGTAGGAGGATTGAAAGTTTAAGGCCAACACGGACAATTTAACTTGTCTCAGAATAAAAAAATAAAAGGGCTGGAAGACACACCCTAGAGATAGAGTGCGTATCTAGTATGTGCAAGGTCCTGGATTCAATCCTTAGCACCATTAAAAGAAAAAAGCCCACAAAACTATAATGTTGATAAGTACTTCAAAGACAATGTGTGCATAGTACAATAAGAGAAAGGGACCTGTAGGAAAGACTCCCCCAACCCCAGGAATTGGTAAATACAGTCATCTAAGAAGGAAGAATAAGCAGGAATTAGAAAATATGGCTGGAATATGAGGACCTCATTGGTTAGAGAAAAACTGTTAAATAGTTCAAGTAGAATAAGTGGAAGAGAGCCTGAATTGTAATGGTACAGCAGTGGATAAAGCAGACAGCTTCAAGGGCTGTGAAGCAGGTGAAATCAGGAAGGCTCAGTGCACTCACCAGGGGAAAGGATGTGTTGAAAGTGACTCCAGAGTTTTTAGCAGTGCTCTGCACTATGGTGCTCTTCACTGCGCTTGGGATCCCCTTTAAGGAACAGAACCAGAACTCAGGTTGTAGGTCTCTTGCACATGTTGAGCAGAGATGTCAGGTCATCAGTTCAAGAGAAGATGGTGTTTTGCAAGGAAGACATGAGGACACTAAGGAAAGTTCCCTGAGAGAAGAGGGGGCCTGAGATGGAGTTTGAGAAATTGTCTTTACTGGCTGAGTAGAGTGAAGTAATCCTTACAGGAAAAAAAGACAGTGAACAACCAGAAAGGTAGAAGACCCGGGAGCCAGTGTTACAGAGTCTAGGAAAAGATGGAGTTTGGTGCAAGTGAGGGAGGGACACAGACATGGTAGCAGTGGTGTCACATGCTATAAACAGATCTGTTAAACTGCCTGAAAATTAAATGTGGGGGGGAAATTTAGGTTACCAATAAAGAGTAGGAGTGTGGACAGTCAGGAGGGTGAGGTAGAGTGGGGAGCATGTAAGTAAATGCAAGTTACTGATATTTTCTAATTTTTAGCTTGGGAATGATTTCATAGTCGTTCATTATATTGTGGTTTATAATATGTTTTAAATAATCTTTTACATGTTTAATCTATTAAAAATAAAAAAGGGTATGTGTTTATAGTAGTAAGCATAAGCAAGCTCTTTACCGAGCAGATTTAAGATGCATTCATGTCTAGGACTAGAACTCTGGTCTCAGTGCCTAACCCAGCAATCTTTACTCTCACACCACACTGTAGTGTCCACTGATCTTACCTCCTACTTCTTGTCCAGCAATTTTTCCTCATCCTTTTTCTCTGCCTTCCTTCATTTAATAACTTGCCTTTGTGGGGTTATCATGCAGACAGTGTGTGGGCTGGGCAAGATTACCAGGGTCAGGAGGCTGATGTCTCAGCCTACCAGCACCTGCAGCTTGATGTGCAGCTCAGGATGGCTCCTGAGCCTGAGGCAGTGTTCTGTACATTATTCAAATTTAGACAAATCTGCATTTATATCAGAAAGTCAGAGAGTTACTACAGTTAGGCTGTACTTAGTAGCTGGACTTTCCTATTGTCTCATTACCACCATTTGGCTCCTCCTTTTGGTTTCTGCCAGGGCATGTTTTTTTCCTTCCACATTAATAAATTGTTTTGTGAGATTGGAATTTTAAGAATGAATAAGATTGAGCCTGAAGGATAGTTAATAAACTTTCTTCCACTGCATTACATTGAACACCTCACTTGACAGGTCTCCTACAGATCTCTGTCTACCTTGTAAAACAGTAGCAACAATAAAAACAGTGACTGCCAACATTTATTGACTATTTAGGTAGTCATTTACTAAGTATTCCATGTACATTTAATCCGTAGACCTTTTACAGTACTGTTAACACCCTTTTTATCTCCATTTTAAAGATCAGAATACTTGGGGCTGGGGATTTAGCTCAGCAGCATAAGCACCTGCCTTGTAAGCAGGCGAGTGAGTTTGATCCCCGGTACCGATAAAAAGGAAAAAAAAAAAAAAAAGAGATCAGAATACTGAGAAAGGGAAAGTAATTTGTCTAACTTCACATAGTTGGCAAACTTAGCACTTATCCTGTGTTCTCAGTCATTGTGGTACACTGAATGCAGCATAGGAAAGTTGCAATTAACAGAAGGGAATCATAACAATCAAAATTAATAACATATTTACTGGATCTAATGAGGTAGGCATTCGGCCCAAAGTTTATCATTTGTGGCCTCATTTAATGTGCATGTAAAGTAGGGATTACAGGTGTGTACTCCCGGGCCTGGGGCGGGGGGCTCTGGGATAAGGCTAACATGTTATAATGGTGTCTCTTGTTTTTGACATCAACTATATGACCTTGGCAAGTTTTTTTTTTTTTTTTTTTTTTTTATGTTATTATTTTCTTTGAGCCACCGTCTTTTTATCTATAAAATAAGATGGAAACGGGGCTGGGGATTTAGCTCAGCGGCATAAGTGCCTGCCTTGCAAGCAGGCAGTCATGAGTTCAATCCCTGGTACCAATAAAAACGAAAAAGACAAAAAAAAAAAGATGGAAACACCTTATGTAGTTGAGACATTTAAAATCACTCTTGGGACTAGGAATATAGCTTAGTGGTAGAGCAATTGCCTAGCATATGTGAGGTCCTGGGTTCAGTCCCCAGAACTGCAGAAAACCAAGAAATCAAATTCTGAAAAATCATTTGCAAATTTAATAAATGTTTATAGAGAGCTTTCTCTTTACCAAGTAGTACTAGTGAGTATATTTGATACTGTTCTGTTGAGATGCGTTATGCATGAGCGTTCCCCAAAGGAATAGTGCAGAAAGAGACATATGTTTCTCTTTGTCTCCTGCTTACTCCAGTGATGTCTCTGAGTGTCTGCTTGATAAGTGCCTCTATACCCACCACTCTCCTCATCCCGACATCTTGATACGAACTTCTGGAGAAGTGCGGCTGAGTGACTTCTTGCTCTGGCAGGTAGGTGGTTTCCAAACCCTATAGTGTTTGTTTTAAGACTGAAGACTGACTGTACCTACATAGTGGTTCATCTTCACTCTCAACCATGCTGGGACCAAAGAAACTTGGGACAGGGGCTAAAATCTGGAGATAACAGTTGATTTCCCTTCCTCATCTGACCTTGGCTTTACAGACCTATATGCTTCTTATTTTCTAAAGTACAAGACATCCAACTTAGAGAAAGAATAAAGGCTTTCCAAACATGGTGAAACCTTGTAAGCTGCCGATTGTCTTAGCACCGCAGAACTGAAACCTTCCTTTCAGTTACCTGCCTCTAATTCAGAAAAAGGACCACTATCCGTGTGTGGACCATGAGGGACCTAAAGTTTTTGTACACTTTCAGGGCTTTGCTCTTAGCTCAGTTACCCCAGTGTAGGTTGTCTTCATAAAGTTCATGTGCAATTAAGTTTGTTTTTGCTTAAAAATCTCTCCTCTGTTTTCCTGGTCCCTGGATAGTATGTGACAGGGGAAAGTCCTTGTATAAGAGGTTAGCCAGAAGGTGGGCATGGTGGTGCACACTTGTAAGTCTGTCACTCAGGAATCTGGGGCAGGAGGATCACCATGAGCTCAAAGCCAGCCTGGACTATCTAATGAAAACCTGTGTCAATAAAACAAAACACAGCCAGACGTGGTGGCTTACGCCTGGAATCCCAGCACTCTGGAGGCTGAGATGGAAGGATTATTGTGAATTCGAGACCAGCCTGGGCCACAAAGTGAGCTTGAGGGCAGCCTGAACTGCATGGCAAGACCCTGTCTCAAAAAAGACCAAAAAAAAAACAAAAAACATAGAAAAACAAAAAGAGATCTAGCTAGGAGTGGTGACACATACCTGTAATCCTAGCACTGTGGTTGGCTATGGCAAAGGGACTGCAAATCAAGCCCAACCTGGGCAGCTTAACGACTTAGTGAGACTCTGTCTCACAGTTAATGAAGAGCAGGGACTGTAGCTCATTGCAAACACCCTGGGTTCAGTTCCCATTGTCACTAAAAAGGAAGAGATTGGTACCAGACTTATCTTGGATGTCTAAGTTTTAATGGGCCACAGTCTCAAAAGTGAGCTAATAATTAGCTGCTGAAGATGCTTTCAGTTGTTGGCTACATTAAAGGAAGTATAATATGCACAAAGTGATTCTTTTTTTGGACAGGAGTTGTTTTTATTGTTGTTTTGAGACAGTCTTATTATGTAGTTCATGCTGTCCTTGAACTCAGTATAAGTGCAGGATGGTCTCAAATTTATGGTGATCCTCCTGTCTCAGCCTCCCAAGTGCTGGGATTACAGGCCTACGCCACTACACCTGTCTTCACCCAGTGGTTCTGTGACTCACTGTGCCACTCAGTCACATTTGGAAAGTTTAATTTGGACACTGAGTTTAAAGAGACCACATTGGTAAACAAGAGGACTTGCTTGAAGAGGCAACTTAGCAAGGAATCACATGTCTCAGAACAAAAGAACATGTGCTAATATTGTTAATATATGTTGTACTCTGAATACTATCAAGACAATATACAATGTATTAATTAATTATTATAACTCTCCCTAACCTGTTTTGAAACTTTTATTGTTATTTTTATCTTCATTTTTATTTTTTTTTCTCTTTAAAATGAAAAAAAGATTAATGATCTGGAAAAGCTTCTTTATTGTAGAAAAAAAATGTTGAGTTCCTCCCATGTACTATAAATATGGCAGTCAGAAGTGATGCCTCCAGAGAAAACAAACTGAACAAGTCACTACAACCTTAGGGACAGGTAATAGGCAGTTCTAATCTAGCCTTCAAATATTTGAAAGAACGTCACTTGAAGAAACAAACTTGCTCAGAGAAAATACATGGGACCTTGGTGGAAATTGTGGGAAGGTGATACTGGCTGAGCACAGTAAGCTCGCTGACAACGAAGGTTACCCTCCATGAGGCACTGAATTGCTTACCACTAACAGTATCAAACAGTGGCTTTCAGTAGTGTTCCAGGGGCTAAGGCTGTAACACAGTGGGAGAGCACTTGCCTAGCATGAACGAAGCCTTAGTTTGGCCACACTGCCCAAAAAAGCGTTCCTGTGATTATTATTCAAGTTCCCTCTGCTGTGTTCTACTTTGGGTACATTTAATCTTTATAGTATCCTAAAAACTGTTATCCAATCTACACTCAAGGAAACTAAGGTCCAAAGAGGTTATATAACTTATCCCAAGTCAAATAGATGGTAAATTATAGGGCCAGAATTCAGAACCAATAACTCTGGCTCCAAAATCCATTAATTTAACCACAGGGTCCTATCACTGCTACTTAAAAATTACTAGTAGCTACCATTTGTTCATTGCTACTTGTGTCTCTCAGATGACTTAGAAGGGTCAGAAGCTAGTAGCACAGTCCAGATGTTACTTCATAGTCCTAAAATTGGTTCTGCAAAAAATCCTGGTGGAAAAATGGTCTCTTTTCATTTTAGTCCAGATTTGCCACAGGCAGGTGATCAGACTGCCCCAGGTGACCCCTCTGCCATCAGTGAGGGAGTCAGGGCTGGCTGCAGAAGCAGCTGCATTACAGAATGCCTGTACTGTCTCATTTCTGGGATTCTTCCTGCTCCTCCATTGGAGAACTGATCAACATTGTGGCCCAGAAACATGTTACTAAACTATGTATCTCTATTTTTCCCAGACCTCTCATTCCTGCCTAGTGTTCCAACCTATTCTATGGCCAGAATACACATTTTGGAACCTCTGTGAGGCCATCCTGCAGTACCAGATGAACCACAGCATGCTTCAGGTAAGAACTTCCGGTCGGCTTGACTGAATAGTATAAAATAGGAGCTTTAGCATGGATACCTTGCTGTATACCAGGTGCTTCCTGGAAAGCATAGTAATGATGACCATGGTGACAATATTTACCACTTGCAAAGCATTTGCTGTATCAGGGATTGTGAACCTGTTACACACAGAATCTCATTCAGTGCTCCCAAGAACCCAGTGAATGGTGGATGTGGAGGTACTACATCACAGTACTAGAGAGGCTGAGGCAGGAGGATCACTGTGAGTTTGAGGCCAGCCTGAACTGCGTGGTGAGACATTGTCTCAAAAAAAACTACCCAGTGAGTAGGTCTTACTAGCCTTCTTGTGCAAATGAGTAAGTGAAAGAATGACCAAGTCAAGGACATAAAACCAGTAAGAGATGGTTGAGGAAGCTGGTGAAGGTAGGTAATCCCAGCCCTCTGGGAGGCAAAAGCCAAAGGACCACAAGTTCTAGCCTCACCTAAGCAATTTAATGACTTAGTAAAACCCTGTCTCAGAATTAAAAAATAAATAAAGCTGGGCAGGGTGGTGCCCGCCTATAATCCCTGTTCAGGAGGTTGAGGCAGGAGGATTGCTATGAGTTCAAAATCAGTCTGGGCTACATAAAGATGAGAGAGATGGGAGTCAGTGTAATCTTTAATCTCTGAAAGACTCAGGAAAAGCCTCAAAGACATTGTTTTTCTTCTTTTTCATTTTGTGAGACAGGGTCTCGCTATGTAGTTAAGGCTGGCTTGAACTCAGCCCTGGGTGATCCTCCTCTTTCAGGCTCCTGAGTGCTGGGACTACAGGTGTGCCCCACCCCACACCTGGCCTGTTCATTATTTCTTTTCTTTTTTTTTTTTTTTGTACCAGGAATCGAACTCATAACTTTGAGCTTGCTAGGCAGGCACTTATGCCACTGAGCTAAATTCCTGGCTGTTCACTATTTCTTGAAGATAATAGCCTAACAAATGTTGTAGCCAGGTGGGTGGTGTGGGCTTATAGTCTCAGCTAATTAAGCTGAAGCAAGAGAACTGAAAATTAAAGGGAGCTTCGGGTAACAAAACAAGACCTTGTCTTAAAAAAAAAAAAAAAAGGCACACGGGCACACATCTGTAATCCCAGCACTCATGTAGGAGGCTCTGAGGCAGGAGGATCAGTGATTTTGAGGCCAGCCTGAACTATGGAGACACTGCCAAAAAACTATACCGATATAAAAAAAGGGGGGGATGGGAATGTAGCTCAGTGCAAAGGCCCTGAATTTAGTTCTCAGTGTTAGTAGTTGATGGTGGTAGGGATTATAGAAGTAGAAATATACAAAATCCAAGCCTCTTACTGAAAGGATTAAAGATAAAATAGTACTATCTTTTGATTTTGTAAAACTATTTTCTGCTTTCAGTTTGATTACCAAATCTTGAAACAGTTTTCGTTAGGAGGCAGTCACTTGCATCTGATGAGCATAAATAGTCATGGTGGTGTGGGTGATGTGGCTAACAGGTTGAGGGTTTACATTGGTTACTTCATGTACATTTCCTTATTTTACCCAATAATCCAGCAGGTTTAGTGTCCTCAGTTTTCAGACATGAAAACAGAAGGGCAAAGAGAATAAATGATGTTCCAAGCCCACATAATTAGGAATCTAAATCTAATATAATTTATTTTTATGTTTTTTAAATTTTGAGACAGGAGTCACCTTTTATCAATAAGTAGCCTAGGCCAGGCTCAGACTTTAGATTCTCCTTTGTCAGTTTCCCAGAGTGCTAGGATCACAGGTAGGAACCGGTAACCCTGGCTCTGAAACCTGAAGCTGCCCCACCCTTTGTCCTGGGACCTGAACCCAGGGCCTTCACTCTGAGCAGCGTCCCCTGTCCTTTTTATTTTTTGGTGTTTTTTTTTTTTTTTTTTTATCGGTACCGGGGAACGAACTCATGACCGCCTGCTTGCAAGGGAGGTACTTATGCTGCTGAGCTAAATCCCCAGCCCCATGCCCTTTTTATTTTGAGACAGGGTCTCACTAAGTTACTTAGATTGCTAAGGCCATGTAGCCTTTCTGCCTCCTCCTCCCAGAATGGCAGGATTGTAGGTGTGCACCATCATTCCCCATTGCTATTTCTTATTTCACTTTTATTTTTGCTTCAGTTTAAAGAGATAATGGCCATGAAGAAAAAATTTTGTAAGTTAGGGCTTCTCTGTCTTCTTGGTCTTAGGTTAGAATATGAGGAAACTGAAATAATGAGATTAGAACAAGTGAAAAGAAAAATAGCAAAGCTTCAGTTATCCACTGTTGGGAATGAACATCAGTTTTCCACATGATCAAAGCTACCCCTAAGAACTCAAACTTCAGAAAACTCTCTGAAATGTATCTTGTACATAATTTATCAACACCTACTCTATACCAGGTACTTGTTAATAATCATCATGATTAGAATAATCACTTCCTAATGGTGGTAATGATAATGGGACCTACCATCTTTCAACATTGCTGTGTATAGCCATGACCTTGGACTGTTTACTCCAAGTTAAATGGTCCCAAAATACCTGGCTTTAGGATGTATTTAGTTTTTTTTTCTTTTTTTTCTTTTTAAACACAGAGGACTTCACACTGAGCTGTGTTCCCCTGCCCTTTTAATTAATTAATGTTTTAAAGGCAGGGTCTAGCTAACTTGCCCAAGCAGTGCTCTAACTTGTGATCCTCTTAATCCCAGAATGCTTGGATTATAGATATTTGCCATCACACCTGGCTTTCCTATATATTTTTCTGTGTCTTCCCTCTTTCATTTCTTCCTGTTATCAATGACTAGTGGCATCCTGCCTTCTCTTCCTGTTTACTACTTCAAATCCGCAATAGCCAATTAATCAAGCATGCTAGAACTGTGTGTGTAAAGTAAGGGCACACTGGCTCTGCCTGAAACCCTGAGGACCTGGGCGTGGGCTTTTACATATAGCTGTGTATGTATATGTATATGGATAAATAATTTGCCTGCCCAAAAGTCTTATAGTAATTTCAGGTTCCTCATTTTGCACATAGTTGTCAATGGAGTCACCTCAGGTTTCATCCATTCCATAAATGTTTATTGAGTCCCTAGTATATGACTCAGGCACACTGTTAGGCACAGGAGGGTGAGCTGCTAGCCAGTCAGACAAGATCACTGCTTTCATGGAGCTTATATTTTTGGTTGAGTAGATAGTAAACAAAAAATATATAAGATAAACGGTGTGGTGGTGCACACCTGTAATCCCAGCCCTCCCGGAGGCTGAGGCAGGAGGATCATTGCAAGTTCAAGAATATTCTGGGCTACAAAGTGAGCTCAAGGCCAGCCTGAACTGCATTATCAAAACCTTGTGTAAAAAAGACCAAAAAAATTCTTATTTATAATAAGGCAATGAAATACACAGATTGATGTGCTAGAAGGTAATGAAAGAGGGCAAGGATGTTGAGATTATAAAGTTTGGATTTTGAAAGACAAAATCCTAGCATGCCTGAAGGGAAAGACAGAGGTGAGTCTGAAGAGAACAGGCTTCTTAATTCATGCAAAGCTCGTAGGTCATGGTAACAGAATTTAAAAAACTAAGTCGGGAATGGCTGGATCTGATTGGCATTTGGTAAAAATCACTTGAGAACCAGGCATTGTGGTACACAACTATAAACCCAGTTGTTCAGAAGACTGAGGCAAAAGATTGCAAGTTTGAAGCCAACCCAAGCAATTTAGTGATCTTTAAAAAAATTTTAAAAAGCACTGGAGATATAACTCAGTGGTAGATCACTTGGCCTAAATTGCCTGAGGTCCTTTAATCCCCAGTACAAAACAAAACAATCAGGCAGAGCCAAGAGACAAAACTCTTGCCATAGCCAAAGTGAGAAAGGATGTGCCTCGCGATAGGGTGGTGGTGATTGGTCAGGGTAAGGCCAAAGGTAAAGATAAATTAAATGTTAAAATAAAGGCAAATGGAACTAATTATATCAAGATAATAACATAACCCCCCAGAAAATGTAAGAAATCAGTTCAGGTTTCTTAAACATAATTCTTAGGTTGCACATTTTTAGTGAAATCTGTTCAAAGGGTAATACAAATAAAAATATAATAGGCCAAGGATATAGCTCAGTGGTATAAGCACCTGACTGGCAAGTACAAGGTCCTGAGTTTAATCCCTAGTACCAAAATAAATAAATAAATAATAGCAAATTTAAATGTCAGCCTATTGTTAGTGGTCTGTTGATAATGTAGTTTTGAAACTGTTAGCCCCCACGTGTAGTGATGCATACTTGTGATCCCAACACTCAGGAGGGTGGGTCAGGAGGATTGCTATGAATTTAAGGACAGCCTGGCTAACCTGAATTACAGAGCCAGCAAGACCTATCTCAAAAAGCCCCCCTACCCCGAATGAAATTTTATAGGTAAAGCAGGATAAAGTAGGATAGAGAAAATACATACAAACATTGACATTATTCGGAACCAAGTTTCAGCTTGAGCAGTTAGATAGGTGGTTGTGCTGTTTCCTGGAATGGGATAGAAAATGTTCTAGATCACTGTTAAGAGTATCATTTTGTAGTCAGGCATTGTGGTACACACCTGTAATCGGCACTTTGGGAGACTGAAGCAGGAGGATCAAAGTGAAACTCTGTCTCAAAAAAGACAAAAAAAAAACCAAACCCACTTGATAGGTCATTATATAGAATAAACATAGGGAGATACATTGACCTTTAGGACTTCTGTTAGCTTGAGTTTTCTGATGGTGAGTTCCTGAGAAGGAGCTGAAGCACTTCCGAGCTTGGGAGAGTAGATCCAGACCATGTGGAGAGGGGTGTATTTCCGATTCCCTCTCAAGTCACCACAGAGAAACCAGAAGTACTCAGGTCAGCTATGTGACCTGGACCAAATCTCTTCTTGGGTCTGCATCATTGTCCTTATCTATAAAATGAGGAGGCTGGAAACAGACAGTTTTAGGAGCTTTCCCAGCTCTGTCATCCTCTGGTTTCTGGCCCTCGCCTGGCACTGTCATTCTTCCTCAGTCCAGTGAGGTGTGGGTACTGTCATCTCCATTTGTAGGGTAAGATTCAGCCTTAGAGGGGTAACGATTCCTCACGCCTCAGTGCTCCAAGCAGAGCTCCTCTGGCCTAAGCAAGCTTTTCCCTTTTGCATGACTTTGCCTTTTGTTTTCCCTGTCAGAATATCTTCCTCCCTCCATACACCCCATTGGCTAAAGGGCAGCTCAAATTCTGCCTGTCTGTGAGATTTCACTGCTCCTTGTCTTTCACCAACTACAACTGCTTTCTCTTCTGAGTTTGCTTGGCTCTTCCTCTTGCCTCCTTATGACTTCTGCATTCTATCTTGGGTTATGTTACTTTTGTACAGGTGGCAGTGTCCTAATTACGGCTAGATTGCTGAGACCATGTCTTGGGCAACTCCGTAGCCCCAACAGACTTATCCATAGTACCCAGACATCATTCTGACCAAGGCCATGAAGAAGCTCTTTCGGCAAAATGGAGAACTGTGGAGCAACTGTTCATGCCTGTAGTCTTTTGTGTGTGTGTGTGGGGGGGGTCTTTTTGAGACAGGGTCTCGCTATGCAGTTCAGGCTGGCTCTGAACTCACTTTGTAGTCCAGGCTGATCTCAACTTGCAGTGATCCTCCTGCCTCAGCCTCCCGAGTGCTAGGATTACAGGTGTGTGCACCACCACATCTGTCTCACATCTGTTGTTTTAACTAGGACTACTCAGAAATGTATAGGAAGAAGAGTCTAGAATTCTTCTTTGTCATCTTCATTCATACAGTAGACTTTATTGTTAAAGAGACTTAGCAAACCATTTATCTAAACTTTCAACAGATAGGTAGCACTTCCCTTACAGCTCCATCGTGAGGATCAAGTGAAATAACACAGTGCTTGTACATTCTTTGTAGGTCATTCTTTGCTTTTGTTTTTGTTTTCATTTTTGAGACAGGGTCTCACATGCAGTTCAGGCTAGTCTTGAACTCACAGGAATCCTCCTACCTCAGCCTCAAGTTCTGGGATTACAAAAATATGCCACCATGCCCAGCATGTGGGTCATTCTTTGAAGGATGCAGACAGCTAAGGCTAATTGGGATAACTCCATGAATATAATACAGGATAAAATACGGCAAGGGTTGTTGAGGTATGGCAAACCTTTTAGAGCTTTCAGTGATATAAATTGCCCACTGCAGTGCTTGTACCAGCCCTGCTATAGGAGAACTTCATTACTCACTTAGGGTATAGGTTTGGCAGGAGTTCTCATGCAAAGGCTCTGTGGGCCAGACAGACTGATACACAGCCAGGTTCTGGTTCTGCTCCAAAGTTAATTTCCCCCTTGTCTGCCTACACACCCAACCTTACCCCCTGGGATCACAAGATGAAGCAACTGAGTATTTCCTGTGTACAAGGTGTCCCAAGTGCGTCAGGACAAAGCAGTCTCTGTCCTTTAGGAGTTTATGGTTGGTCTGAAGACACCGAAGGTCTGAGAAGTGCTGGCAGGGTCAGTATGATAGCCACCTGATGTCAGAGCTTGTTCCAGGCACCCTTCAAGGGCCATGAGGGGGGTGTACTGGGGGTTCAATGGAGGGCTTTTGTCCTTTTGTCCTGAACTATGTCTGTAGTCTTTATTTACTTATTTTTATTTTTTTAAATTTTGAGATAGGGCCTCACTATGCAATACAGACTGGCATTGAGCTCACTTTGTAGCTCAGACTGTGTCAAATTTGCTACAGCCTCTTGCCTTCGCCTTCCAGGTGCTGGGATTACAGCCACCATGCCCAGCTTCTTTTTCATTTTTTCAGACAAGATCTCACTGTGTACTTGAATTTATACCAACTCTCCTGCCTCAGCTCCCAAATTCTGAGAATACAGGCATGTGCCATGATACCTGACTCCCAATCCTTTTTTTATAGTAGGATTTTGTTTTTGTTTGGGTGTTGGGGGTCTTTTTGAGGTAGGGTTTTGCTATGCAGTTCAGGCTCACCTCAGAGCTAGGCTGTCCTCAGACTTCAGTGGTCCTCCTCCCTCAGCCTCTGTACCACCATGTCCAGTCTCCAAACTTTTCAAAAATCTCTTTTTCCCCTGAAATTTTGAGGCAGAATTTTAGTAAGTCTCCCAGGATGGGCTCAAATTTATGTTTCTCCTGCCTTAGCCTCCCAGAGTGTTGAAGTGACACGTGTACACTGCCACAACCAGTAAAGTCTTCTTTTCTAATAGAAAAAGTAGACTGGACACACTAACATCTGTGGTAGACAGATACAGTAAGTGGTTTAAGAGAGCTGAACCTCTTAGTGTGTTCATGAGAGTGTCCTTTGCTCCAAGAGTCATTTATCTCCATGCAGGACATAGATTGGAGCTGAACCCTAAAAAATAATTTAGGGAGGTGGAAGGATAAGTATCCTCAGAGTAACCTGGGAGAGCACAAGATCTGATGAATAGTGCCCCAGACAGAAATAGGACCTTTCTTGCAGCAGACGCTAGACAATAATAATATGTGAAATTGCTGTTTTTGTCTAAGAGCCTGCTAATATGCTAGAGAGGATTTTGCATATATTATCTCTAATCCTTAAAACCACTCTTGAAGGTAGTGCAACCCCCACTTTACAAGTGAAGAAATGAGGTTAGGAGAGGATTTGCCTAAAGCCATGTAGCTAGTTGGTAGGGAAATCAGAACTCAGACCCACATTTACATGCCTCCCTTCCAAGTGTAAGGCTGAGAAAAACTGTAAGGGATCAAGATGCTTCCACACAAAACTAACCAAGATGAACCCACAACTGCCACTGCCATGTCTGTACAAGATGAACACCACCTGGTGCACCCCTACCTCCAAACCTTTGCAAAATTGGTACAAACTCTCTTTCATTGACCCACCCCGTGCCCCACCTCTATCTCCTCCATCTATTCTATCCACACCTAAAATGATTTCCCTACCCCAAACTCCACTTTTCTCTAGCAGAAGGCCAGAGACATGTATGCAGAGGAGCGGAAGAGGCACCAGCTGGAGAGGGACCAGGCTGCAGTGACAGAACAGCTGCTTCGAGAAGGGCTCCAGGCCAGTGGGGATGCCCAGCTCCGACGGACACGCTTGCACAAACTCTCAGCCAGACGAGAAGAGCGAGTCCAAGGCTTCCTACAGGCCTTGGAACTCAAGCGGGCTGACTGGCTGGCACGTCTGGGCACTGCATCAGCCTGAGTGAGGCTGGCCACATGCCACTTTGCCCTGCCCTCTGCCTCCAGGGCCCCACTCCCCTTTCTTTTCTTGATGAGAGGCACGTACCCTCTTAATGATGAATTATGCTCCCCTGCTTGGCAGGGGAGTCCCCAAGGTCAGATCTGCTGGCCATAGATTTGTTTGGGCTGCCTGTGGCCCCTGGGCAGGACTGAGGGTGAGAATTTTTCACAAGCACACTAACTGTGGCCACCAGTTGTTTTTTCTGAGGGGGGCACAACTGATTGGCTTCCTGTTCCAGCTGCCTTTGCCACCCCGCCTTGTGCCCCTAGGTGTACTTTCTCTTTCCACTAGCACGTCCTTCAGCATGCGGAATTGCAGGGAAGAAGTCTCCTCAAAGCCTACACCTTCACCCTTCGTCTTCGTCTTCCACCTGACTTTCACAAAAGATTTGGCTCTACCTTAAATCTGCTGGTAAATAGCAAATAGGCAGCCAACATTATTTGGGCAAGAAAGAAAGGGCCGGGAGAGGCAGAAGAAAATTTGCCCATCTGCTGCTCCTCCTCTTGGCTCTCCACCTGGGATTTGCTATTGAGTCTCTATCCCTCCCACCATGCAGTACTGATTGCTCACTGAAAGGCTGGGCGCCCCCAGTGGTGCTCAGAAGCCAGGCCGGTGATTACAATCCAATTACCTATTGTTGACTCAGCCCACACAAGCTTTTCTCCGCCTCTTGCAAGGCTTGGAGCCAGGCTCCACTCCCCAGTGAGACTGGCCCCTTCCATGGCTACAGGGTAATATTGGGGCCTATTGGTCCTGGTGGTCTAGTGGAACACAGGCCTCTTTCCCTGTGACACATCAAGACCGCGTAGAACCAAGCACTTAACCATCTCAAACACTTCCAGTCTTCAAGGCTTCTCTCAGCTCTCTGACCTGGCTCCCTAAGTGGGCCTTGAGACAATTTAGTCTCAGCATGGCAAAACTTGTTCCAGGCCTTCTCTGCCAGTGAGGGCCAAGACTTCCCAGCAGGAAAGTGAGGGTAGAGTCAAGGCTGTGTCCTTTCCCTTACCTCCCCCTGCCAGGCATCCATGCAGAGTTGCTGAGAGGATTAGTGCCTTTGAAGCCTGTCTGCCTGAGCAACTCTGCTTCAGGTGCTCCACAGCAGCAAGTACCGGTCAGTAATACCAACCAAATGCTACTCTTCAGTTTTCTCATTTTACTTTGTACCGTCTGCCCAGCAACTCCCTCGGGAGAGAGGTGGGACCTTAGCAAGCTGTGTTGAGTGTACTCTTCAGACCTGTAACTTTTCTATGCCCTAGTATCTTCCTCCCTTTCTGTGCTTGGATACCTGGCACTAGAGACCCTTTGGCCATCATTCCTGCTTAAAGAATCAAGCACAAATGCCAGCCGCTGTGATTGCAAAGCCAATCAGCACACCCTTTGGCAAAGCCCCCTACACACCTGGCACTCCCCACTACCAATCCCTGGCACAGGGTTCCCAGAGAGCAGGTGCTGTACATTTTCCAGCTTTACAATGGGGCTGTTGACAGCCTTAATTAGGGAGGCATGAATTATTCGGCTATAATGCAGAGCCCTACAATTAAGGCGGGAATGAGGGGCTGCAGGCAGTAAACGGAATGTGCCCTGTGAGCAAGGCTGTTGGGTCGTCTTTCTGCAAGTCCCTTGTGATGAGGGTACAGTAGAGGTGATTAATGGGACTGGCATCTCTGGCCTGAGGTCCTGTATTCTGGGAAAGGTGCTCCGGGTGGAGTAGGGAGGAGCTGCCCCAGGAGACACTGCAGGGAGTGGAAGGGGAGAAGGTCCAGTGTTGTCCAGGAGCAAGAACTGCAAAATACTTGCTCTAAACTCCTACTTTGCTTTCAGCTTCTACCCTTGCCTAGTGAAGTCAGGGGAAAACCTATTTATATGTCCTCCCACCTGTAAACCAAACCCCCTCTTGATATTTATCCTGTTCTTGTGCTCCCCTTGGCCTCAAATAGAATTTTTTAAATTGTTAGCTTTGTTTGCTAATTGCAACGGGAAAACACTTTTTTTACTGCTGCAATTGCTTAGCTTTTCTCGGTGTATTTGGTTAGCTCCAGGATCCCATGGGTTTGAAGTGGGGGACACTGTAAGAGCCCTTTTGCCATCACACCTGTTTCTCTACTTGTTTCCTAATCCCCGGGCGCTATCCTCCACCCTCTTCCTCGCGCAAGTAAAAGGAAGCCAGTCTGACAGGATAGAAGGAGGGATTTCACCAGCTGCGGTGTCTGCAGCGCCCCAGCTTGGTGGCCGTGTCTGGTGGGGGCAGCGAGGCTAGCTGCATCAACATCGATAGTGCTAGGGGGAGGGGAGTAATCAGGCCTCTTGGAGGCCCCTCTCCATCGTTCCGTTACGGGGTCCTTGGGTCCAGGCATGCAGGGACCTAAGGGAGCCACCCAACACGCTTTGGGGGGCTTCATTAGCCTTTGGGGAGGAGGCTGTGCAACGGGTGCTGAAAGGACAGCTCCTACCTGCCCCGCAGTACCCGAAAGGCACCTCTACGTGTGAAGTCTCCCTAGCAAGCCCCGACCCCACCTCAAGCGGACCGCCATCCAGGTGAGGCGCACGAAAGGCTTCCCTCGGAGTGGCAGCTTGGAAGGATGCACGTCCAGCTGTGCCAAGCTGGCCTCCCCGCTCTTATCCCACTCGAACGTCAGGCTTGGCCTCGGTCGCTGCAGCCTTTGCCTCGACTGGCGTGCTCCTCCCGCCCGCAACGGAGCAGAGCAGCGCGGCCAGGCCTCCCAAACCCCTCTTCTGGGGCCCCAAGCGGGAGCGGGAAGGAAAACCGCCGAGATGCGCCCTAAGTGTCGTACGGCTTAGAGAAGTGGGCAGTTTGGTTGCATAAGGTGGAAGGAACTTAGTTTGCAAAAGCTAGCTCTCGGCGGGAGCGAAAGCCGGAGCCCGCCGACTCCGCACCCCTCCTCATTTATTGCTGCTGACGCGCGCCTCCCCCACTGCGCCCCCACCCCCTCGGCGCGCCGCCGTCTCGCTCTCCCTCCCCCCCTACTCCCCTCCTCACTCCCTCCAGAGGAGGTGAGTTTAAACCCCGCCCACGTGACCCCAACTGGGCCAATGAGCGGCGGCGGGAGGTGAAATCCGGTTCTAACCGGTCCGGGGCTCCCAGCGCTATAAAAACTTTATAAACCCCCCGGAGCCTGAGCAGTGTGAAGAAGAGGCGAGAACGACCCCCGGACCGACCAAAGCTGCGCGCCGCTGCATCTCGCGTCCAGCGCCTGCGTCCCGCTGCCGCCACCACCATGCCCAAGAGAAAGGTACGTGGCGCGAGGGCCGCAAGCAGCGGGTCGCCGCTGCTCCCTCACTGCCTCCGCCGCCGTCTCTCAGCTCCGGGCGCGAGAGTCGGCGCGGGCCGAGCATGCCGTCAGCTCGGGGCTCAAGGCGGGGTCGGCGGCCTCAGGCTACCCCTGCGTGGCGCGGCTGCCCGCGGGCGCCAGAAGCCATGTTGGAGGAGCGGCGGCCGCGGCGGGAGGAGCCATGTTGGTGGCTGTTTATCCTGCTCCCCTCGGGCTCGTCGCTCCCGCCCTGTGCCCCCTCCCCCACGGCCAGGCGCTCTCCCGCCCCTCCCGGCGGGCGGGCGATTCAAACCCGAAAGGGCGGGAAGGCGGCGCTCGGGGTTGGAGGGCGGGGGAATGCGCTGCCGCCAAAAAACCGCCGCCGCGAGGGGGCGTGGCCGGCACGGTGTGGCCCCGCCTCCGCCCGCCCACGCTCCCTGCGCTGGAGACGCGCGCCGCCGCCGCCGCCCACGAGTTGAGTCGCGCGCGCTCCCTTGGCCCCCTCCACGGCTGCCATGGCAACCGCGCTCGACTCCGCCTCCAGAGGGTTTGTTTGCACCAGCTGCAGCTGTTGCTCCAGGCTGGCGCGATGGCGCGGCCGGCCTCCAGCTTAGCGCGCGCGGGCTGGGTCCTCCGTGCGCGCCTTCTGCGCTGAGGCCGAGCCTGCGGCGTCCTAGGTGCTGTGGCTGCTTGCTGGACGCTGGGTGTGCGTGTATTACAAAAACTGTCGTTTCTAAATTTTGTCTTAACACCTCAAGTTTGGGGACTCAACTGAGGATTCCCTCAGAAGCTACAGGTTTTTTTGCCTTTGTATTTTCTAGGCTGAAGGGGATGCTAAAGGTGATAAAGCCAAGGTGAAGGACGAAGTAAGTCTCTCGAGGGTTGTAAAGAGCTTTGGACAGTAAGGATGACAGGATTCTGTTGGTGGGAATTAATCGAAGCCTGAGTTTACCTAAAGCGACACTGCGTCCTCTTCTTGTAGTCTAGAAAATATTGGTATAAAACTTGCTTGTTTTTCTAACTTTCTTGGTTTTTATTTAATAGCCACAGAGAAGATCTGCAAGATTGTCTGCTGTAAGTGTGTATGCTTAAATTTTTTTATATTCATCCTTGAAACTGAAAGACATTGGAAAACATAATCTTACTTTGTGTGGATTGATTAGAGGGTTAATTTGAGTGTCTACCTCAGGCTATATCGCTCATGTGGAGTTAAGGGTTCTGAAATTCTGATGACCAGCCAAGGCAGGACACTTACATGTTACATTTCTAGAAGGAAGCTAGCCTTAAGAACTCTGACAAGTAGAAAATTCTAAGCTGTTAGTATTGTGGCCTGGTTGTGGGTGGTTATCTTTGGGTCATTGTATTAATATTCTCATCTTTTCTGCCTGCCAAAATAAGAAACCAGCTCCTCCAAAGCCAGAGCCCAAGCCTAAAAAGGCCCCTGCAAAGGTAAGTAAAACAGAGACAAATGTACTAACACTGGAATTGATATTTTTCACAGAAAAATTGTCTTTTTGAGGGTTGGGGCCCTTTAACCCAGCACAAGGGAGGCTGAGGCAAGAGGATCATGAGCTTGAGGCTAGTCTAGGCTACATAGTGAATTCACAGTAGCCTGAACTGTGAGACTTTGTCCTGAAAAACTCTTTTAACTAGTTAATCAGGCATATGGTGTAAGCCTGTAATCCCAGCATTTAAGAGGCAGAGGCAGAAGGATCGCTGTGAGTTCTAGACCGCCCCTGAACTTGTCTCAAAAAAACAAAAATCTTTTTCACTACCCTAACAATTCAGCATATTTATCAGCCCTGTAAAGTGGTTTTTTGGGGGTTTTTTGTTTTGTTTTTTGTCTTTTTCGTTTTTATCGGTACCAGGGATCGAACTCAGGACTGCCTGCTTGCAAGGCAGGCGCTTATGCCGCTGAGCTAAATTCCCAGCCCCACATTTACTTTCTAATCAAGAGTTTTGTCATTTTAAAGAAAACTTTGCCTTAAAATCTTAGGGGTTTGGTTTTATTCTGTTAGTTATACTTTTGAACTTTTCTATACAGAAGACCACATAAAAAGAACAATTTAATACAGTTTTAACATGTCTTAGAAAATATAAACAAAAACCTTGTGCAGAACTTTGCATGCATATGCTAGTAATATAAAAGGAGGAGAAACAGTTCTGTTTTTCCTCACTTTTAGAAGGGAGAGAAGGTACCCAAAGGAAAAAAGGGAAAAGCTGATGCCAGCAAGGATGGGAATAACCCTGCAGAGAATGGAGATGCCAAAACAGACCAGGTATGGTTGTGTTTATGTATGGTTATTCAATTGGTTACTGACCCTAAAAACTTCTTACTGCCCTTTCCTTTTATCTACATCACTGTAGATGTGTTATAATTTTACTGTTAACATAGGATTCTTCAAAAACTTGATTCTTAATCTGTGCTTTTACTTTTAAGGTACTGTTTTGTCCTGTCCTAAGGTACTACATTCATAGTACACTGCACCATAGAGTTTTTAAATTGGGAATGATCTCAGGTAGTCTTGTGCTCTTTTTTTCCTCAGTTCTGTAGTAAGATGTGGCCAGGAGAGGTACCTTAGCAAAGTTGCCCAGCAAGGTCATTCTCAAGAGAAGCAGAGTCTTGGTATTTTAAGTACTCCAAACCTGAGTTTTGGCTTAGGAACAGAATGATGCTATAAGTGAAATGTGGACAAAGTTTTAAAATCTACAAGTGTTAATGTGGTTTGTTTGTTTTGTTTTGTTTTGTTTTGTTTTTTTCTTTTAGGCACAAAAAGCTGAAGGTGCTGGAGATGCCAAGTGAAGTGTGTGCATTTTTGATAACTGTGTACTTCTGGTGACTGTACAGTTTGAAATACTATTTTTTATCAAGTTTTATAAAAATGCAGAATTTTGTTTTACTTTTTTTTTTAAGCTATGTTGTTAGCACACAGAACACTTCATTGTTGTTTTGGGGAAAGGAACATATGTCACTAATACAATGTCTCCAAAGCTGAATCGATGTGCGGAAAGCACCTTTCCCTGCTAGTTTTGAGAGACTTCCTCTTGGCTCCCAGGAGGGAGGGGTTCCCTGATGTTGACACATGTAGCCACCTTGGCATAAATGCCTTGTGGTATGGGACAACACCCAGTTCATTTTATGTCCCCCTTTCCTCTGCCATCAGCATAGACTTAACTCCCTTAAGCCCAGAGACCTGTCGCGACCTGATTCCCAAAAATTGATGTTACCAGTGTGTCTGGCAGTCTGGACTTGCCAGTGACATTGAGGTGGTGTCCCACAAGAGCAGTGATTTCCTTTTCTAGATTGTGGATCTTCAGATTGATAATTCTGCCATTTTCATTTCCTGAAAGTCAGGGTCGGCTTGTGAAAAGTTGTTAAACAACATGGAAAATGTGAAATGTCAACCCTCACTCTAAACCTTCCCTACTTCAGAGCCTCAAATGAAGACTTCATTGGATTTTATAGTGGCTTTCTGATTTTTGGTAGTCCATCTTAAGAAGGGAGTTTGAAAGTTATTGTATACTGTTAACGATTGTGTGCCCATGTCCTGCCTGAAATACCATGATTGTTTACGAAAAGTATCTTTAATAAAGCTGGATACAGTTTGGCTTGGAATACTGCCTCTGATCTTTTCCAACCCATATGAAGAACCTGGCTTTCTGTGTCTCCAGATTGGATGCATTCAGGTGTAAGGAATAGAAGTTCCATTGTGAAATACAGGGACCCTGTAATCCTTCATTGATGTATAGTTGGTCTTCAAGTTGGGAAGGATTCCAAGAGCAGACTGGTATTGATAGTCTGGGAATGGAGAAGTGGTTTCTGTATGTGGTTATGCAGCATCCCTGAAGTTTATTTTCTGACAGGAAAATTTCCACTGCATTCACAGTGACAGCTTCTAAAGTTGGATTAAAGGAAGCTATTATAGCTCTGTCTGATGTCCCTGAGTGTGAATGTAAGCTGCGTGTGGTGTATGACACTAGGCTCCTGGGGAGATTTACAAACATGTTAATGGGAACTGTTAAAGAATCTATAGAGAAAAAAATTTGGAGACCTGTTTATGGTAAAAGCTTGACTTAGCATATGAAACTTCATAAATTCATAGTTGCAATTTAAGAGCTTTAACAGGCTATCTGGTTGTAGGTTTGGGAAGGGAGTTAGTAAATTATAGACTACAAAACTGCCTTGTCCTGTGTCACAAAGGTACAACACTTGGCCCGTCATGCACAAAGCCCTGGGTTTCATCTCCCATGCCCTCCCAGTCCAAAGAAAACCACCTAGTTAGCCTCATTCTTTTTTTAAGGCTCATTCTTGAAAGTTTTTTGTGTTCTAGTTTACTGTCAGGCAGACTTGATCCATGTGTCACACATTTTATGGGTTAGAAAACATTGAGGAAAGTTAGGTTGTTTGGACATCTGTGAGCAGCAAGTTTATAAGGCTACTCAGAATTCAAACTCTCAAATAGCCAAAAGCATTGAAAGCATCTATTAGGGGAGTCAATACAATACCGTTTCATCTAGGCTGCTTTTCATTATTGCTGAAGCCCTGTGTAATGTTTCCTATTTGTGAGGCAGTGTCATCTTCTAGTATTAATAGTCTGGAAACTGTGGTGGTGCATGGTTGTAAT